GTGTGTGTGTGTGTGTGTGTGTGTGTGTGTGTGTGTGTGTGTAATTATACATTGATTAAAAGATGTTAAATCTTGTCCTGTAGTTATAACTGAAGCCAGTTTGGAGATCAGTTTTTTTCCCCCTTCATGTTTCAATGAATGCTTGTAAACTGCATGCTTTTCCTTCCCATTTAAAGCTCTTAAAGTGTTGATTTTGTTGTCACACAGGAGTGGACGGTGAAAGCTGACTTCACGCATCACGCTCACACAGCTTCGGTATCGGTTGTGGCAGCCAGTGAGAGGTTYGTGGTCACGGGCAGCAAAGATGAGACCATACAGGTGTACGACATGAAGAAGAGGACCGAGCACGGMGCTCTGCTGCACCACGACGGTACGWTTCTCAGTTTTAACGCCCGTTTCTGGGTTCATTTCGGTGACTGATGATTTATTTGCACAGGCACCATCACTTGTCTGGAGTTTTACAAGTCTTACCTGCTGAGCGGAGGAGAAGATGGACTCCTGTGTGTGTGGAACACAAAGAAGTGGGAGTGTGAGAAATCCATCAAAGCTCACAAGTAAATACACTAACATTTTCTGGTCGCACTGCAGGAGATTTATTTATTTATTTGTYGTTATTAATGCTGATGAATGGTTTCTGTGTTCCTCAGAGGCCATGTCACGTCACTCTCCATCCATCCTTCTGGAAAACTTGCTCTGTCAGTCGGGACGGATAAAACTCTGAGGTGAATCTTAACTACCCCGAGGAGTCAGTTCTGTCAATGATTATTTAAAAAAAAMCAAGTAATAATGACACTTTTTATTCTTTTAGAACCTGGAATCTCACTAACGGCCGATCAGCTTTTATTAAAAACATCAAACAAAGTAAGTTTTCCTTTATGTAAAAATAATAATAATAATAATAAATAATGTACGTTTTTTGTGAACCAGGTTGTTTTTCTGTCCACAGATGCACATATCGTCAAATGGTCTCCAGACGGGAACAACTTTGTGCTCGTGGTGAACGACAAAATCGACATCTACAAGCTGGAGACGGCTTCAGTGATCGGGACGATCACAAACCCCAAGAGGATCTCTTCTCTAAAGTTCTTAAACGTGAGTTTACTAAACTCAGATTTATATCTTTTAATTACACAAAAATACCATAATATAGGAGCTGTGAGTTTAAACAGGTGTTGTCTTTCAGGACACCATCCTGGCCGTCGCAGGAGACGATGAAAACGTGAGGTTATGCAACGTGGGAAAAGCCAAATGGGTGTGTGAGTTCAAGGCTCATGAAACCAGGTAAATCAGTTGTAAAAAAACATAAAATGTTTCCTCTGCAGATGTTTTTATTGACGTCGTGTGTTGAGTGAAGAAGAAATGAAGAATGCTTCTATTTATGTTTTGTGTTTGTTTTTTGTTTTTTTTTCAGAGTAAAAGCAGTTGATAGTTTGATTATGGGAGATTACTGCGTGATTGTGACGGCTTCAAATGACGGTTTCATCAAATTGTGGAAAATCCACCTGAAAGAGGCACGTTTTCGCTCTTTATCACCTTTAATCAAAAGTCTATTTTACATCATGTCTGCTTTGCAAATCAGCCCCCTTTTATGGAAATAAATGAGCAGACCGGAAGAAATTCAAGCAAATAAATTGATGTAAAACYATATTTGTGTTGTCAAGCAGAAGCTGGAGTGTCCTGTTCTTCTGGGGGAGGTGAGCACAACAGCCAGACTGACATGCCTGGCTGTGTGGAAACCTTCATCCGTGCCACAGGTCGCTGAGGACCCGACGTCCGAGGCCACAACATCTAAAGGTGCTGAACTGGAAACGTTCTTTTATTTGTATTTTATTACAGTGATAATTGAGTTAATTTTTTGTGTCTGTGTCCCTGCTTCAGCTCTGTCCACAGGACTATCTCAGCAGCTTAGGAAGAGAGTCCGAACCACCACAGAAGAAGTCRTTCTAGAGGATGAAAGCAAACCCAAAAAGAAGAAAAACAATGGAAAAAAGACTGTCAAACAATAAATATATATATATATAAAAAAGTTTTTTTTGTCTGTCTGAAGTTAAATCATTTATTGCTTTGGTCAAAACACAGAAGACAGACATAATTTTTATTAAACCTGATGTTTTATAGCAATACAACCGCTTTTGTTTCCTCATTATGTATATAATAAAAAATGAATACAACTGAATGTGCCATCTTTTATTTTGAAAGTACTTCCGGTGTATTAAAATCGTATAAGAACATCCGGAAAGTTACGCGTACTTCTAAGGTTTCTAACCAAAATAAGATTAATTATAGTGCTTTATAAAGAAAACTAAATACTTGAAACCCCACGTTTTGTTTGWACTCATCTAGTTCCGGTTCGTTTGGTTCGAACGATAAAATCAATCTGAAGCACAGAAGAAGAGTGATCATGGCAGTGGACTGGATTGGGTTCGGTTATGCTCTTCTTGTGTCAGCTGGAGGAATAATAGGTTATGTCAAAGCAGGTATGTCAGAACAACAACAGGTTTTAGGTTTTAAAGTAACAGATTGTAAACAAACTCGTGCGAAACTCGAGATGTGTAACACGTCGATATCTACGGAAGCTGATTTGGGCCACAAAGTAAAAAACTTCCCCTTTTCAGAATTCTGATATAATTTAAGACCCCCCCCACCCCCTTTCAGAATTCTGACTTTGATCTCAAATGATGAAAGTCAAATTCTGAAGCTTTGTCTCAGAAACTGGGAAATTCTAACTTTAATCTCAGAATTCTGCATTTTACTTTGTCAGGAATTATAT